TTACTTTCTTCCCCTGTGCACTGGGGCATTCCACTGTCTAAATCTCTCATGTTAAAAAAAAACCCCAAAACCAGCATTAGAGCTTTCAGATCATTTGGCTATTCAATAATCGCTGCTAAACATCCGTCGTTTTGACAGCCCCAGGGTCCATGGCCCAATTAGCACCATTTACGTTGTATAATTAATTATGTATGTTGATTTTGTTTAAATACATATTCCTTTGGTGTGGGGCACATCGAATGATTTTGTATTTTGGAACAGATGCTGTTTTGGGTTCGAGTGGCCTAGAATATTTTCCATATATAAAAATAGAGGTATGAAGTGTTTATGCATAATGATGTTGGTTTATAAAAAAAACATGAGGGAAGTAAAACAGAGGCGTTGCCTGTGTCAGCCAATCAGATGCCAGCTGTTTTGTAGCACTGGTTAGAAAACTATTCAGAAAATAACTGATTTTATGGACGGTTTGCACCCATGGCCCAACAGAAGCCCTATTCGCATGTAACCGCTGGTACAAGCAATTACATGCAAGCATTGGGGGAGATTTACTAAAATTGAAGCACTCAGAATCTGCTGCAGCCGTGTATAGTAACCAATCAGCTTGCATGTTTTATCCCCGGTTCACATATATGCGGCTTAGGGCCACGTTCTGCGTGGGCACGAGAGCCCATTCATTTGAATGGACTCCCGTGACACACAGAGAAGAAGTCCCTGCACTTCTTCCGAAAATGCAGCCCACACGGGAACCTCTGTTCCCAGTACGGTTGCGGTTTTCAGTGCAGGCGGCGTGCCATTAGAACTAATGGCACCCGCCCGCAGGTCCGCATTTCTCTGTGCGGGTGGCGCGGCTGCACAGATTTTCGTGCTGATCCACAGCGGCACCACCCGCACAGATGTGAACCTAGCCTTAATGTCAAACAGAAGCCCTATTTGCATGTAACCGCTGGTACATGCAAACATTGGAGGGAATTTACTAAAATTGAAGCACTCAGAATCTGCTGCAGCTGTGCATAGTAACCAATCAGCTTTCAGGTTTTAATGTCAAAGTTTAAAAAGTGGTTCTAAAGGCTGAAGTTTTTTTTTTTTTACCCTCATGCAAAAAAAAAAAACCTGTATCCAGCTCCCCCCCCCCCCTCCTTATATTTACCTGAGCCCCATCCCGTGCAATCCAGCGCTGTGCATGAGAGCAGCAGCCCTCCAGCCTCTGTCCCTTCTCACAGGGTAGATCCATAGCAGCGGAAGCCATTGACTTCCACTGCTGTCCATCAATTCTGTGACAGGGGGCAGGGCCACGCCCCACTGTCTGCATCTATGGACAAAAGGGGGGCAAGCCTGCACTATTGCCCCTATAGGAAGTGGCTTTCTATGGGGGCACTGGATGAAGAGGAGCCAGGAGCTCCAGCGGGGTACCTGAGAAGAGGATCGGGGCTGCCCTGAGCAATACCATTGCACAGAGCAGGTAAGTATAACATGTTTGTTATTTTTGTGAAAAAAATATTTACCTTTTAAAAGTACTCTAACCACTTGCCCTCCAGAGGATTTACCCCCCTTCCTGACCAGGCCATTTTTTGCAAAACAGCGCTGTGTTACTTTAACTGAAAATTGCATGGTCATGCAACACTGTACATAAATGAAATTTGTCATTTTTTTTACCACAAATAGAGCTTTCTTTTGGTGGTAATTGATCTCCTCTACATTTTTTTATTGTTTGCATTATAAACAAAAAAAAAACAACAATTTTGAAAAAAAAAAAAATATTTTTGACTTTTTGCTATAAAACATATCCAATAAAAAAATTTTAAAAAATCTAATTTTTTCATAAATTTAGGCCAAAATGTATTCTGCGACATGTCTTTGCTAAAAAAAAAAAATCCCAATAAGTGTAAATTAATTGATTTATGTGAACGTTAAAGTGTCTACAAATGGTGGTATATATACTGGAATTTAAAAAAATATTTCTACTAGTAATGGTAGCAATCAGTGACTTATAGCGGGACTACGGTGGGCATTCTGACACTGAATGGGAACTAACGGCCAGTGACACTAATACAGTGATCAGTGCTAATAAAAAGCACTACTGACACTGTACTAATGACACTGGGCAGGAAGAGGTTAACATCTGGGGCTAGCAAAGGGTTAATTGTGTGTTTTACATTGCGTGCTGTTTTACTTGGGAGACATGCTGCTTTGTATCTCTCTGCTGTGGAGAGAGATGCAAAGCAGCATGTCCATGCAGACAGGAGAGAGATCTGTGTTGCTTACACACAGATCTCTCCCCTCTGAGCCCTGCTGGCGATCACCGAGCCCCAGCCAGGAATTGTGGGCGCCCCCTACCCAGAAATGCAAATTGCGTGTATGTGTATATGTGTGTATATATATATATGTATATATGTATATATGTGTGTGTGTGTGATTTGGTGCAGCCATGCCGTCCTGTAGCAGTACTTCTGCTATAGGGCGGATGGCTACTGGTTAATTGAACAAGCTGACGTTAGAAGCTGATTGGTTACTATGCAGAGCTGCACCAGATTTTGTGAGCCCCAGTTTTAGGAAAGCTTCCCGATTGTTTTGTACAGGATACAAATCTGGCTGCAGGTGTGTGCACACAAGGTGTGCATGAGTTTGGTTTCTTTGCCAGGAAGAATTGCCATTGGATGCCCATCTGAATGAGCCCTAAAGAAAATGGTAGTAAAATAGTAGAGTAGCTTGTAAACCACTTTTTTTTTTTTTTTTTTAACATCTGTGGGTTGTGTTGGCTTTATCACTCTTTGGCACCCATGTGAAATGGCTCAATATGGCCGCAGCTTTTCATGACTGCTAATATTATTAGTCACCAATGCTAACAATGGGCCACATGTATGAAAAGTGACCGTGCAGAAAAGACAAAAAGCTATTGTGACCACAGCTGCCAGTTGGGTTTCATTAGTCATTTTTCCATTGGAGCTTTGAAGGCTTATTTGGTTGCTAATGGTAACACAGTCCCTCTTTTCCAGTTTTAAATATGCCCACATAAACTAAAATTTCTCATGGCTGAACGAGTGAAATGTATCAATTTCTCCTATCCATGCTAAATGGATAGACAAATATTATGCCTGCCATTGTATTCTGATATCTTGCACCTGTGGCTGTCAGAATACCCAAACTGTGTCTGCATCCAGTTCAGTGGTCTCCAAACTGTGGCCTCGGGGTCAGACTTGGCCCCCTGCTTGCCTTTATCTGGTCTTTGTGGCACTATTCCTCCCACTTACACAAGGAACTAATCCTCTCAATGATGCCAACAACTGACCATAATTGCTGCCACTGATACCAAAGATACAAGGAACTATTCCTTCCACTGACACCAACAAGGAGGTATACTTACTGCCAGTGACACTAATGATGGGACAAGGACATTATTCCATTCACATCTACTGACACCAACATTGGGGCACCATTCCTCCCACTGACACGATGATGAGGTATTGTTTGCTCCCATGATAGGACATTTTCTGTTCCCACTGGCTACCATCTGCCCTCCCCCCTTAAGCCTGAAGGACAGTAAACTGGCTCTTTGTTTAGTAAGTTTGGAGATCCCTAAACTAATTGGATACAGCTGCGTTCGTCCAACAATTTTCCACCTGGCTCCTTTTGATTTTCAGATTAAAGGATGATGGGTAAGAGGAGGACAACAGGGCCACCCACAGCTTCATCAGGAACTAACCAAAGTTGGCTCCCTATATGGCCAGCTTTAGTGAAAGGCAGAAACAAACCATTTAAACTAACCAATCAGATGGCAGCTGGAAGCTCACTGACACTGCCAATGGGGTGGTTGACTGTAACATCTGGGCAGTGGAAGCCTAAGCAGATAATAGAATCTGAATTGGACAATCAAGGACCTAGGAATATCATTTAGATCATTGCTTACATGGCCTTCACTCACACCTATGTCATTGGAATCCTCCCCACAAATATAGGAGTATGGCAGCTGGATTGCTGTTATGGATAAGAAAAGATGATTTTGTTGGCTGAAGAATGAAGTCATCATCTCATATATGTGAACTTATTCAGGAGGAGTGGACTGAGTATGCCCTCTTTTGGAAATAGGTGGCTATGTACAACACCACAGCTATTTCATGTCCATCATCCACATAGTCTGTGAGATAAGAGCAGTGATGTTCAATTATTGGGCATCTTAGGCTTTTAGGCTAGCTTTACATCTGTTAACCATTAGGCTGCTTTCACACATCTGGTTTGTTGCGCCTGCCAGAATCTGTGGAGACTTGCAGCTGGAATGACCGGGTTATATGATCTGCAGTGGCCGCTCAGCCCATCTAAACTAATGGCAGGCTGACAGCAACTGCTGTTGACTGCATGTAGCCACACACACAGCAATTAGCTGCGTTTTGGAAGAGATGTCCAAGCATTGATTGAGTCAGCTGTGTCCAGGCTCGAACATCTGTCCAAAACCGCGGCCAATCGCCTTGTGTGCGGCTACATGCGATCAGCAGCGGCTGCTGCTGACAGGCCACCTTAAGTTTAAATGTGCTGAATGGCCACTGCAGAACGCATAACGTGGTCATTCCGGCAACAAGAATCCACAGTTTCTTGTAGCAGGAATCTGGCAGTGGCAACAAATTGGTTGTGTGAAAGGAGCCTTACACAGAGGGCAGGATAAATCCTGGGAGCCATGTAGCCAATGCTCCTTTAAAATGACACTGGTGCCTAACAAGGATAAGAAAGGAAGAAGAAACCTGCTGCCCATGACACTTTTTTTTTTTTTTTTTTAAAATGGCATAACAGGCAAAATAGAAGGCGTGTGAAATAGGCTAAACATGAACAAAAAGGCATATAGACATGTATAAGTATTTTTTGTTATATGTGTTAGTTTTTGTCTCCCCCACCCGCCATATAGTGAAATGATGGGTGCAAGGCAGTTCTCTTGTTCTGGGAGGACGTCATTTGACGTCGTCCCATCCTAACCGCGCATGCGTGGCTCCGGGAGCGCGCAGTGCGGCAATCAGTGCTGCTCTGTGTCCCTCGGACACAGCGGATCACCGATCAACAGAAAGAGCCGAAGATGTCGGCTCGGTCATGTGATCAGCTGTGTCCAATCACAGCTGATCTCATGTAAATAGGGAAATGCCGGTTATCGCCATTTCTCTCCTCACGAGCTGTCACACTGACAGCTCCAGAGGAGAACAGAGCCGGTAATCAGCATTTCTCAGAGGGGACATTTACACTGATCATCAGGGCACTGATGATCAGTGTGCCCTGACGATCTGTGTAGCCCCAGCAGTGCCACCTGTCAGTGTCCATCAGTGCCAGCTGTCAGTGCTCATCCATGCCACCTCCCAGTGCCCATCAGTGCCACATCAATGCCACATATCACTTCCTACCAGTGCACATCAATGCCACATATCAGTGCCCATCTGAGCTGCCTTTCAGTGTGAGTGCCACCTATCAGTGCCAGTCAGTGCTGCCTATAAGTGCCATATATGAGTGCTGCCTTTCAGTGATGCCTGTCAATGCCCATCAGTGCCACCTACCAGTGCCTCCTCATCAGTGCCCATCACTGCAGCCTTATTAGCACACATCAGTGAAGGAGAAAAATCACTTATTTACAAAATTTTATAACAAAAACGAACAAAAAAACTTTTTTTTCCAAAATTTTCAGTGGTTTTTGGTTTATTTAAGAAAAAATAAAAAACCCAGAGGTGATTAAATACCACCAAAATAAAGCTCTATCTGTCATAAAAAAATGCCAAAAATTTCATATGGGTACAGTGTTGCATGACCGTGCAATTGTCATTCAAAGTGCAACAGTGCTGAAAGCTAGAAATTGGCCTGGGCAGGAAGGGGGTATAAATGCCCTGTAGGCTAGTGGTTAAAGGAGGGAGGGAAGGGCCACTTTAAGATCAAACTTTGAAAACTGCATGCTATGAACTAGTTGTATGGGATTGATATACTGTGTGTGTGTATATGTGAATACATATACATAGAGCGGGAAAGAAAAATAAGTATTGAACATGTCACCATTTTTCACAGTATGTATATTTCTAAAGGTACTATTGACTCAAAATTTTCACCACATGTCGGTAACACTTGCAATCCATACATACAAAGAAACCAAATAAGTTCAGAAATTAAGTTGTGTAATAAAATGGAATGACACAAGGAAAAATTATTGAACATGCTAACTGAAATTTATTTATTACTTCGTACAAAATTCTTTGTTGGTAATGACAGCCTCAAGACGCCTCCTTTATGGAGAATCTAGTCGCATGCATTGCTCAGATGTGATTTTGGCCCTTTCTTCCACACAAGCAGTCTTCAGATCTTGAAGGTTCCATGGGCCTCTTCTATGAATTCTGATCTTTAGTTCTTTCTATAGATTTTCTATTGGATTCAAGTCAGGTGATTGGCTGGGCCATTCTAGCAGCTTTATTTTCTTTCTTTGTAACCAACTGAATGTTTCCTTGGCTTTGTGTTTGGGATCATTGTCTTGTGGAAATGTCCACCCTCCTTTCATCTTCATCATCCTGGTAGATGGCAGCAAATTTTTATCAAGAATGTCTTGGTACATTTTTCCATTTATCCTACCTTAAATGAAAATAAGTTTGCCAGTACCGTATGCTGAAAAACAGCCCCACACCATGATGTTCCCTCTTTCAAACTTCACTCTTGATATGGTGTGTGACGGGAGTGACTTTTGGGGGTGGGGGACCCCTGTATCAGCTCCTCATGTTCCTCTTATGTGTAGGCACCATGTGCCTGTTAGGGGTGCAGGGTGATCTGTCCTAATATTGTGTGTCTGGGTTTGGTGGGGTGTGGGGGTTGTTCATTGTATAATGCCATGTGGATGTCCCATTGTTCTATTGTGTGTCTGGTTTGGGAGCAAACTATTATGGGTTGTATGTGTTTGTGCATTGGCTTGGTGGGGGGTGTCTGCTGATGTCTCTGGTTGCTACATTTGGTTTGCCACGCCCTGTGTCCATATGCAGGGAGGTGGGTTGTTCCCTTGAATGTATATATCTTGTGTTTGTGTTCAAATAAAGCAGTTGACTTCCTGTCTTAGGAAGGGTCTGGTCTTGTCTTATTTCCTGTATGGTCCGGGTGGTGTCCGGAAATCTGTGTTCGGACAGGGAAGCGGGAGTCTAATGGAAATACCCTAGAACGGTCTGGGTCCGGTTCCGTTACATGGTGTATTTGGGGTGATGTGCAGTGCCATTTCACCTTCAAACATGGTGTATTATGGCATCCAAAGAGTTCAATTTTGGTCTCATCTGACCAGACTACATTCTCCCAGTATTTCACAGGCTTGTCTAAATGTTGTGCAGTAAATTTTAAATGAGCTTCAATATTGGGCATGGAATTTACCAGAGCTTCACAGCTTGCCACTGAAGTCCTCTTCCACTCCTCCATGACGACATCACGGAGCTGGTGGATGTTAGACCTTGCACTCCTCCACCTTCCATTTGAGGATGCCCCACAGATGCTCAATAGGGTTTAGGTCTGGAGACATGCTTGGCCAGTCCATCACCTTTACCCTCCGCTTCTTTAGCAAGGCAGTAGTCATCTTGGAGATGTGTTTGGGGTCGTTATCATGTTAGAATACTGCCCTGCAGCCCAGTCTCTGAAGGGAGGGGATCATGCTCTGCTTCAGTGTGTCACAGTACATGTTGGCATTCATGGTTCCCTCAAAGAACTGTAGCTCCCCAGTGCCAGCAGCACTCATGCAGCCCCAGACCATGACATTCCCACCACCATGCTAGACTGTAGGCAAGACACACTTGTCTTTGTACTCCTCACCTGGTTACCGCCACACATGCTTGAACACCATCTGAACAAAATAAGTTTATTTTGGTCTCATCAGACCACAGGACATGGTTCCAGCAATCCATGTCCTTTGGTCTGCTTGTCTTCCGCAAACTGTGGGCTTTCCTGTGCATCATCTTTAGAAGAGGCTTCCTTCTAGGATGGCAGCCATGCAGACCAATTTGATGCAGTGTGCGGCATATGGTCTGAGGACTGACTGGCTGACCCCCCCCCCCACACCTTCAACCTCTACAGCAATGCTGGCAGCACTCATACGTCTGTTTCCCAAAGACAACCTCTTGATATGATGCTGAGCACGTGCACTCAATTTCTTTGGTCCACCATGGTGAGGCCTGTTCTGAGTGGAACCTGTTCTGTTAAACCGCTGTATGGTCTTGGCCACCGTGTTGAAGCTCAGTTTTAGGGTCTTGGCAGTCTTCTTATAGCCAAGGCCATCTTTATGTAGAGCAACAATTCTTTTTTTCTGATCCTCAGAGAGTTCTTTGCCATGAGGTGCCATATTGAACTTCCAGTGACCAGTATGAGAGAGTGAGAGCAATAACACAAAATTTAACACACCTGCTCCCCATTCACACCTGAGACCAGTGGTGTCCCGAGGCAGGTGCGGTCTGCACCGGGTGACACCGACCGCACGGGGTAACACCGGACCCGCTCCACAAAAAGGTAAGTTGTAAAGCAAGCCGACGATCATCGGCTTTCTTTACAACTTACCTTTTTATTACCTTTTCTTGGAGCGGGTCCGGTGTCACCCCGTATAGGTTGCATGCAGACGATCCTGAGGGTGAATACGGTCTATTGGCAAGATTTGTCTTCCATGTAGATGTCCCCCTGAAGCAACTGCACATGTCCCGATTTCAGGCACGATCAATCCATGATAGAACTACTGCTATCATCGATTGATCGTGTCTGAAACTGGGACATGAGCAGTTGTCCCAGACCCGCTCCAAGAAAAGGTAAGTTGTAAAGAAAGCTGATGATCCCCACAGGATGGATCGGATCTGCGGATTGAGCATAATGGATCGGAATCCGATCCATTATGCTCAATCCGCAGATCCGATCCATTCTGCGGGGATCGTCGGAGGGGGTGTCACCAAGTTGTACCGCACCGGGTGACACCAACACTAGGGACACCTCTGCCTGAGACCTCATAACACTAACAAGTCACGTGATACCGTGGAGGGAAAATGGCTAATTGGGCCCAATTTGGACATTGTCACTTAGGGGTGTACTCACTTTTGTTGCCAGTGGTTTAGACATTAATGGCTGTGTGTTGGAGTTATTTTGAGGGGACAACAAATTTACACTGTTATACAAGCTGTACACTCACTACTTTACATTGTAGCAAAGTGTCATTTATTCAGTGTTGTCACATGAAAAGATATAATAACATATTTACATATAAAATACAGACACACTGGCACTCTGTATATATGCATTCTATACAACTGTATTGCTATTTCTTGTTTGTATCACTTACTTATTACATCACCATGGAAGATAATGGAACTATGTAAATCAATAATAATACATTTACTTCTATTATTTAAGGTACAAAACAGCTGAATGGCTCAACTTTCTGTTAGTAACACTACACACACAGCCTGTATGGGTTGAATGTAGTCAACAGATGCCTTCCAACTGCACTTTAAAAAGAAAATATTAAATTTCTCTTGTTTAAAATCAGGAGGAATCTACAATAATTGGTTTCTCTGTGCAGATTTACAGAACCATGAAAGAATACTATATTAGCCACACACAGGCAGATTGTTCCATAGATAATGTAACTATTTAAAAATTAATTATAATACATATATTTGATAAAGTAGTCTGTAAACTGAAATCTTTCGATCAGACAACTATGAATACTTAGAAATAGAAATGTTCCACGAATCTCTGTTTGTGTGACCAAGATCTGACCCCAGATGATGAACAAAGTAATTGAGATTAGCTGTATTTAGACAGAACATGTAAGAAGCCTTTCATACTGGAATCGCGGGGCACTTGTAGTAGAGCTTGTTACTGGGGTGTCCTGTCTGGGGTAGCAATGTAATCCAATTAGCAGGTATGGCCCAAATATTACATATAGCATAGGAGACTGTGAGTCCCACTCCACCATCTACTGACCACCAATTGGCTCTGTATACTACATCTAACTTTAGGGTGCACTTGGTAGGAAAAAGAATCAACTGACAAGAGTCCTATTTTACTAAACTGTGGGGATGCAGACTAAGAAAGCTGTTGCTGGTGGACAAGTCTCCACCATTGGGATTGCATCTCACTGTTGAGTCACACGTTCATTGATTGGACAAGTGAGAGATTACCTGCTTACTGCTCCCTTACAAAGTGTGAGGTTCAGCAACTCTCTGAGCCAGCAAAGGAGCAACTGTATTAGGGTAAATGGTGGCCACTGTGTCTCCAGCACTAGACTTACCAGTGCGATACGGCTCTAGGAATAGCCAGAGATGGCTGGATATTTTGAATCTCTTGCAATTATTAAATCTTTAATTCCTAGCAAGCATGTTGGCTGCATATTTTATTGGTTTATTCTTGAATTCCTTGGGAGCATGTTTGAGGCCTACATTAATAAGGAAACTATTTTAAGGATGGGAAGATTATCTTTTTTTGCAGGGAGGTCTTTACTCATCTGTGGCCTCCATAAAGCACATCTTGGGGCTCCTTTCATCTTCTCCCTGCCCCACCAAATGATCTAAATGTTCTTTATACTTACCTAAAGCCATGGTCACTTGATGATTCAGTCTTCTATCCTCTTCTGTTTATCCTCTTATGTTTAATGAAATATGGTCCTTCTTCAGGTGTCTACATCATTGTCTATGTGACATGGACATTTTCTCTTGGTTGTCCACCAGTGGTGGCCTCTCAGGATTCAAAAAAGGAGTCTTTGGCAGTAACATCCATATGAGGGGACTGTCAAGGACCAGGCAGAGTACACACATTTGCAGCACTGGATTAGTGGTCCTCCACACCCAAAAAAAAATGGTGCTGGCAAAGGATTTGGATGGTGGATATAGGTGAGTGTATGTTGCCTCATAAGGAAAGGAAAAAAAAAACGTAGGGAGGGTTAGGTCAAGCTCGAAGGGGGCTTATGTTTTGCCTGGAGATGGATTTTAAAGGCGTCCATATACTTGGATTTAACAGTTCTCAACCAAAGGGACTGATTAGAAAACCTTTCCCTAACCTTTTCCTTCTCCATCGATGTAAGCTTTTAGGTGTGGCAGGTTTGATTTTACAAGGTTTTGGAGTGTTCTACAGACAGCTTAAAGTGGTATTGAACCCAAAAGCAAACATTAATTATATTGCAGCCTATTCAACAGCTGTCATGCTGATGTAGCAGTTAGAGGATTGTGACAAACCATTTAACACTGACAGATGTTTACAGTGATCTTTTTTTTAAATTTATGTATCACCCTTATCCAGATACAAAACTGTTACTGTAATCAAAGTATTAGCTGGACTTTGGCTTCAATTTGTTAATGTATCTAAATCTGCTAGTACATTCAACCTTTCAAGCTAGTACATTCAAAACCCCCCCCCCCCCCCCCGAATGACAAAGTGTTTGCCTTATAGGTTCTTCCGAAAACAAATTTCATATTTTACTGTGACATCGTCGGTTACCTATTTGTATATTATATCTTTAGATATAATCTGTTCCTCTGCAAGATTCATATGACTTCCTCCCGGATCTCCGCCTCGCGTGCGCTTGGTGACCGTATGTAAAAAAAAAAAAAAAAAAAATTGGGGAAAAATTTAAAATTTGTTACAAAATATTACAATGTCAAAAAACTGGCCATGCCTCTTAAGAAGTGTAGCAGTATACATTTTGGCCTAAATTTATGAAAAACAATTATTTATTTGCAAAATGTTATAACCGAAACAAACGTCTTTTTCTTCAAAATTTATGGTCTTTTTTTCATTTAACAAGCAGTAAAAAACCCAGTGGTGATTAAATACCACCAAAAGAAAGTTCTAGTTGTGTGAACAAAATGATAATTTTAGTTTGGGTACAGTGTTGTATGACCGCGCAATAGTCATTCAAACTGGGAGAGAAAATCTGAAAGCTGAAAATTGGCCTGGGCAGGAAGGGGGTAAAAGTGCCCGGTATTGAAGCGGTTTAAAACCTTTTGTCAGGTCCCAACAGCAGTACGTGTTTTACAGGTATCCTCAGTTTTGCACAGGTCAAAGTAATAAGGGCCTCTGCATTGTTGTAAAACTACCTATGTTTATTGTGAATAATTCTATGGAAACAATGCAGTACCCAACAGAAATTACTATATGTGAGATATCTCCTCACAAAGCTCTGGTACTTGGTTAAACATACTAGCCTTTACTAAAAATGGAGATGTTGACTTTGGGTACATTTCTCAACATAACTGACACTCCAGGCACATTTTGATGGAAAAACCTCACATTACCTTTTTAATAAACTGCATCCGTGCACTCTTTCTTGCCAGCATCTACCAGATATGTGACAAATGACATACTGGCCCATATAGCTACTCTGGGGTTTGCTAGCTGAATAGCACAGGAATTCTGCTAGCCAGCAACCGCATTAGCTTACTCATTCAAGAGGTATTGCCTTCACAGATGGCCAGCTAAAGGACTGCTATGCCCTGACACATTGATAGGAAGTGTTCCTTATGCAGCTGTCCTTGTTCTTCGCCCCTACCGCTCTGTGCTCCTCTCTAGTCCTGACAACTTCCCGTCACCGCATCAAAACTGACCAAAATTCAGCTGGCCTGGGTGATTCAGAACTGTGAACTATTTAGTAAACTGTGACTTATCTCCTAAAGTGGACCATCACTCAGGCAAAACACTTTTCATCCCCCCAATTTGCAATCTTTAAACTTTTTTTTACATTTTCTTTTTTTTTATTTTTTTTTTTTACACTCCACCCTGTACCCTATCTCCATTCTCACCTAGGTAAGAATGCTGTCTCCTGAAGCCTCCTGGGATATGTGTGTCACAAATGCCAGAAAGCTTCAACATCAGCACAGTGGGCAGAGGAGGGTGGACTTGGTGGCACATCATCAGTGGGTTGGCCGTCTGAACCAGGAAAAGACAACCGGCTCTCTATGATGTTGGAAAGGAAGACCCAGCATGCAGCAGTGGACCAGTAGATGACCGCAGGCAATGTGAGGTTTGCTGGCCATGTGAGTATACTTTTTGAGGACAAACCAGCAGACAAGAAAAATGTATGGGAGGAGTGAAGTTCCTCTAACAAGAAGCTTATTCTAGAGGTGTGCAGGGTGGTGACTTGGCAATATAAAGCTAGAATTTGATATAGTGGACAGTGTGGCCACTTATCAGATTTGGCAACCAATAGCAAGGCTGACCTCTGATCAGTATTTGCATAACAGAGTGCTTTGGATTTCGGCATGGTAGAAATCTTATGCTTTGTGCAAGCACCTCTAGGTGGTAGTTTTCTAGGGTTAAAGTGCTACTAAACCCACAACAGTAATGTCAGTCTATATGCATCAAGCATGCTTGTTCTACTCACTGTGGAACTTAAGGGGTTAATCCTCTGCATTATGTGAAAAGGATGTTTGATCCTGACTTCCCTGAACCTCCCCTTCTTCCATGTTCTCCATTTCATCTCCTGATAGAACATAGCCTCGGGGACACTCTACACATGCTCATTTTGGTATGTACTACTAGTTTTTTTTTTTTTTTTCTTCTTTGGAGGGTGCATGTGATCAGCACATGGCCAATCAGGGGTTATGCAATCTCATAGGGCAGTGAGAGGAGAATGAAAAGTCCTACAAACTTTAACTAGTGCTTAGCTGGAAACTGATAGAAGTCACAAAGACTAACTGCTAATGAGAAAAGGTTTTTAGCAGTTTATATTTACTAAAATAATTGCATTTCTATGTTCTTTGTACTGTGGGAGATCAGATATAGTGAATGCAGGGTTTAGTAACACTTTAAGGTAAATTCACATATGGAAGGTTTGCTTGATACAGTGTTAGTAAAAGCAGCCATACACGGGGTAGCTTGTGGCACAATACCTACATTTTCATTGAATTCCTGTGACAGTGTGTACCTATAGCAGGGGGTCTCTAAACTTTTTAAACAAAGGGCCAGTTTACTGTCCTTTAGGGCAGGCCTGG